CGGGCCGCGCGTCCGGGCAGCCGCGAGGAGGAGGAGCTGCGCCGCGGGCAGCCAGGGCGCAGCCGAGGGCGCCCCAGGTGAGGGCCTCCGCGCCGCCTCCCCAGGGATTCCCGGCCGGGTCGCCCTGCCCCCGGGTAGGGAGGGACGGGGGCGGGGCCTGCGGGGGCGGAGCTTGGCGGAGGAAACTGAGGCAGGAGGGAAGTGTCCCGGAGATGGAACTCGTTCCCCTAGCTGAGACCCAGAAGCCGAGACCCCAGCCCGAACCCTGTTGTGGAAGGGGCCCAGGGAGTCCGCATCTGAGTGCCCGGGACGGAGGGACGGAGCTCCAGAATTTCAGGGTCCGCGGGAAGAGGGCGCTGGGGTCCCGGACTCCTGGTCCCAGGGAGGTGGTTGCCGGGGCGGGGCGGGGCGGGGCGGGGCGGGGGGCTGAGCTCCTGGCCCTGAAAGGGGAGGCAGCTGGGGTCCAGGAGACCTAGTCCGAGAAAGGAGGTAACTGGGGACCAGGACATCTAGTCCGAGGAGCCGCGCACTCCTGCCCTTGTCAGGCGCCCGGCGCCTCCGCACACCCCGCCCTCCCCTCTTCCCTTCTCTGAGCCCGGGCGCTCAGCCACCCAGGTATGCGCAGCCCAAGTCTCGGGCGGGCCCCGGCCTGTCCTGCGAGCAGCGAGCATTCCAGGAAGCAGCCCGGGGACCCAGGACTCCCTGAGTGCGGGCCCTCGGGAACCGGGTGTCCAGGCCAGCCCCGCCCCGCCCGTCTGTGAGATGAATGGTTTGAGGGGCTGCGATCCCTCCCTGCCTCCTCCATCTGCCCCATCTGCTTCCCATCCCAGACGGAGTCATCACCTGCGCAGGGAGGGGCCTCGACAGGAATCTCGGGTGCCTGCGCTCTCAAGGGAGCTCTGGAGAGGGGGTGTTCGGGGTCCAGGGCGCTCCTACCCGCCTGTGTAACCTGTCTGTCCCCCTCTTCCCCCAGGTGGCTGCCCCCTCCCTCTCCTGGGATGTCAGGAAGGAGGGGGCCACCCGTGTCCTCTACTGGGGCCCCACCGAGCCTGGGGGCCCCCAGCCCTGGCCCTCTGAGGTGGAGGAGGTGCTGACAGGTCTGGTAACCACCTGCTGCTTCCCTGTCCTCCTGGGCTTCCCAAACGTTGTAGAGAGGAGGCACTCACCCCTCCCCCCACCATATGGAGGTTTCACACCCGGGGACACTGAGACCCTGCAGGACAGGGGGTGCATCTTGCTTTATTAGCGGCAGCTTTGAGCTGAGCATGAGTCTCCCTGGAATTCCAGATTGAGTTCCAGAATTGCAGTATTCAAGCCAGATGTGTGGACCTATGGCTGTGATCCCAGCACTTGGGAAGCTGAGGCAGAAGGACTACCAGGAGTTCAGGGCCAGCCTGGGCTACATAATGAGTTCAAGGTCAGCTTGAATTATATAGTGAGACCCTGCCTCAAAAATCAAACAAACAAGCCAGGTGTGATGGTGCATGCCTGTAATCCCAGCACTGGAGGCAGGAGGATCGTTGAGATCTCGTTCCTGGGCTGTAAAGTGAGCTCAAGGCCAGCCTCAACTACATAGCAAGACCTTGTCTCAAAAAAGACAGGAAAAAAAAAAAAAAAAAAAAAAAAGCAAATTGCAGGACTCAGGAGGGGTTTCTCTGCATGACTGAGGCCAGTGGGCACAACTGGGCTCCTCAGAGTTCAATTGCTATCTCTTCATTTGCTGGCTGTGTGACCTGGTACAAGTCCTTAACCTCTCTGAGCCTGTAATTTGCCTTTTCTGGTCTATGAAGTAACAGCAATTGGATAATCATTAATTAGAAGTTGGACCTCACCTGAGTCCTAGAACATAGGGACCCTCCAGCTCTGCAGGCTGCCCTGGGGCTTCCCACTTGTTTCTGTGTTTTCCCCACTACTCTAACCCCAGCCCCACCTTCCATTCGCAGGTACCCAGAGATGCGCCCCCACCCTTGCTGCTCCCTCCCCATCCTCCTCCTCTCCCTCTTCCCCAGTGTCCCTGTGGGGTGCCACCCCCCACCCTCCACACTGCCCCCATTTCCAGCCCCCGAGTGGGACCTCCTGTCCCCCCGAGTAGCACTGTCCAGGGGCGCCCCTACTGGGCCCCCTCTGCTCTTCTTGCTGGAGGCTGGGGCCTTCGGGGAGACGGCGGGTGCCCCAGCTAACCGCAGTCGGCGTGGGGTGAGCGAGACGGCCCCCGCGAGTCGCAGGGGTGAGCTGGCAGTGTGTGACGCAGTGAGCGGCTGGGTGACAGACCGGAGGACGGCGGTGGATTTGCGTGGGCGCGAGGTGGAGGTGCTGGGCGAGGTGCCCGGGGCGGGCGGCAGCCCCCTCCGCCAGTACTTCTTCGAGACCCGCTGCAAAGCCGATGGTGCGGAGGAGGCTGGGCCCGGGGCCGGCGGAGGGGGCTGCCGCGGCGTTGACCGGCGGCACTGGGTGTCGGAGTGTAAGGCCAAGCAGTCCTACGTGCGCGCGCTGACGGCAGACGCCCAGGGCCGTGTGGGCTGGCGATGGATTCGAATTGACACCGCCTGTGTCTGCACGCTCCTCAGCCGAACTGGCCGCTCTTAAGGCCCCTGCCCACGAACTGGTCGGACCTAGAAGAGAACTGGACACTGTGGGACCTGAGGAGGCCTGGCTGCTCAAGAAAGAGGCTTCAGTTTGGGAACTTAAACGATCACAAAATCAAGGCTTTCTGATTTTGAAAGCTCAGTCCACGCAGGATGTGTAATGAAACCCCAAATGGGGTTTTAAAGGATGAGTAGGAATTCTGAAGCAACCTGAGGGTAGTCATGGACATTATAACCATAACAATGGCTAATATTTACTGTGTGGTTATTGTTTATCAGCCCTAATGCAATACTTCTCAGATCAGCACTGGTGCATCGAGCATCAGAGGCCCTGAACTTTAAGTTGCACACCACTCAATCTCAGAGCACAGGGCCTTGATACCCTGAAGAGGAGGGCAGGAGGGGCCAGGTCAGGAAGTGAGTGGGTGCGGTGGGAGCTGGACTCTGTGGGCACCTGGCTTGAACTACAGTCCTCTGCTCTGTGGTGTTAGTTCCCCATCACAGTGGGGGCAGGGGGGGAAATCGTAAGAACTCAGGGTACTGGAGAGTTTAGTCCTGGGCTGGGAGCTGGACCAGGTTTCTATCCCTTCCCTTCCCTGTTGAAATCTTTATACCACATTGGGAAGGAAACTGACCTTACAATTGTCCAGCTTGAGTAAGACATGAGGTTCTCACAACCGCTCTGTGCCCTGTGATCAGGGATCACTAGACACTGATGGGCTTCAAGTAGCACCACAAAAATCCAACCAAGGGTCCCAGAAGGCTTAATGGAATACAGGGTCATGAGCCAGGCTGTAGAAGGTGTCCTCAGTTTCCCCTGCCTGAAGGCTGGACTGGGGAGGGGGATGGAATAATGAGGGCTGAAGTACAGAGAGATCTTGACCTCTCTGACTTCCTGAGTCTCCTTCTGGGTAAGCAGCGCATGCCCCTCCTCTTGCTAAGCATTTCCCTTCGTGTTCTCTCCGGGCTGTGCCCGCCTCCCATGCCCAGGTGGAAGTCTTCAGCCAAATCAAAGCCCAGAAGGTGACCAGGGAAGTCCCCACACTCTGCATTGCTTAGAGCTCTTTTTTTTTAATATTTATTTTTATTTATTACATTTATTTATTGTGTGTGTGTGTGGCCAGCTCAGCCCACCAGGGGGCGGGTCTGGCTGGCATGTGGTGCTGGGGATCGAACTGCGGTCCCTGTGCTTTGCCAAGCTTGTTTCAAGTAGGTGCTTTAGACCACTGAGCCATCTCTCCAGCCCCTGCTTAGAGCTCTTGCCAGCACACACCTATATTCTTTTTTTTTTTTTAAACTGGTACTGGGGTTTGAACCCTGGGTGATCTATATCACTAGCTCCCTCAACCTTGAGACAGTCTTCCTAAATCACTCCAAGCCAAGTTTTAATATTCTCTCTCTCTCTCCTCTCCCCCCCCCCCTTTGTGGTACCAGGGATTGAACTCAGGACCCTGCGCTTACCGGGCAGAGGCTTATTCTACTGAGCTTTCTCCCCAGCCCAAAGGCTTGAATTTTCAGTCCTCCTGCTCCAGCCTCCTAGAGTGCTGGGATTACAGGCATGTGTCCCCACACCTGACTCACACACATTCTCTTTGGGTCCAGCTTTGAGGCCCTAGACAGCCCCTCTACTGCCACCCTCCTGACAGGGTCTGCTGTCTCCATTTCTGCATCTCCTTTTCTGCCCTTTCCTATGTCTCTGGCTTCCCGTGTCTCTTTCCGGGTGAGCGGCGCATGCCCCTCTGCTTGCTAAGCATTTCCCTGTGTGTTCTCTCCGGGCCGCGCCCGCCTCCCATGCCCAGGTGGAAGTCTTCAGCCAAATCAAAGGCAGGCAGAACGGTGGCCGCCGGGGCGGCTCCAGCGGCCTGAGGAGGGAGGGGGAGCTCCGGGATGTCTGGAAATCGTTACCCGAGGTGGGCAGGCTTGGCAGAGGGGGAGGCGGCCAGGGGAGGTAGGAAAGTGGGCGTTTCTCAAGGCTCTCTCTCCCCGTGTGTGCGCGCGCGTGTGTGGTCTCTGTCCTGCTCCCCGTCTGTCTGTCTGTCTCTCTGCTTCCCACACTTGTTCCCCTCACTGAAACTTTCTTTTCTATTTCTCTTTCCCCGACTTCTCTTTCTGCTGTCCTTCGAGTCTCCAATACACCTCTCCTCGGTATCTGTCTGCGGCCCAGTCCTTGCAATATCCCTAGGTCCCTTTCTGCCTTGGTCCATCCAGATGCTTGCCGGCTCTTCATTGGCTGCGACTAGGGTGGGCGGGTTCTGTCACCACGGCAACAGCAACAACACGCCAACTCCTGCTCGGCAACGAGTAGAGGTGGGACCATGGCCTGTGGGACCCTACCTCTTCGCTCTGGCCCCCCGTGGTCGCCCACCTCAGAAAGAGATGTGTCCGGGTACTGGCCCAACTGGCATCTCACCAGCAGCGGCACTGCTCACCACATTATCCCACCTGTGTCCTTTCCCCCACCCACTGTACAGGTAAGGAAACCTGAAGCTGAGGGAGGGGCGCGGGGGCCCAGAAACCTGGATGCCAAGAAGAGCCTTGGAGTTTGGACCATTGTCTGCAAGAGAAAGATCCTGGAGTCCTGGGCTGGAGGGAAGGGCCGTGGACACCAGGGGCTGGAGAGGGAAGACTGAATCTTCTTAGGTGATATGTGGCACCTTCTCAGTCCACAGTCTTGGAGTCCCTGCCCCCCGCCACCAGGCAGGCTTTGCACATCTGGGATTTCGATGAGGTCATCAGCAGATGGGAGACGACTTCTGGCTCGGCCCACGTGCCCAAGACCCACGGCGGGCCTTACGCACAGCCCAAGGCCCCAGAGCCTGCAGACCCCAGGCGGACAGTGGGGATGAAAGCTTTAGAGGAAAAGGTAGTCCCAGGATTCTGGGAGTCTGCGTAGTAGTTGGGGCTTTGGGCTGCACCCGAGTCCCCTACTTCACCCTGGGTCACTGGGTTTGTTGCCTTCCTGCAGCTCAGACACTGGCGACTTCCCCTGACCGCAAAACCCCAGGACAGTGAGACGAAGGCACAGTACAAGGGTTGGCCCACCCTGGACCAGGACGCCATCTGCGAGCTCGCGGACCACCGCACTGGGGGTGCGGTCCAGGTCGGAGAGGAGGAGCCAGTCTGGAGCACAGGCGGGGAAGGGTGGGAGGGCACAGAGGTTAGGTACCAGTGGAGATCCCGGGGTGTGGCCAGGGCCTGAGGGATCTGGAAGGTGCGGGAAGCTGGGGCGGAGCTTGTACTTTTCCAGTCTCAGCCCGCGGTAAAAGATTGCAATTCGAAATTCTGGCTCTGGGATGGATTTGGAGTAAGCAGGGGCCTTGAGCTGAGTAGGCCGGGCTAGGGGTGGTGGTAGAATATTACCAGGTAGAGTAGGGGTGGGAAGTGCCACAGGTTTACTTGAAGTAGTAATGTAGAATTGCTGCCCAAGGTTTATTTGTCCCCAGTGCCAAAACCAAAGTTGACTGGGAATGGAGTAGTAAGTCTGCGTTGTTTTGTGGTTGTGGGCTTTCATTTGACTGATCAGGGCTGGGGATATAGCTCAGTTGCCTGTCTGGCAAGCACTAGGTTGTGAGTTTGATCCCAGGTTAAAAAAAAAAAAAAAGATTGGGGTAGATTTTGGGCAGTGAAGCTAAAGTAGCCTGGTGTGGAACTGCTTGGGAAGGATCCTGGAGGCCGAGTGGGAGGTCTGGGTCCGACTGGGTTGTCCTAGTAGAAGAAAGATGTCCAGTCTGGGAGCCAGGATTTGGAACCAGTGTGACCTTGTCCTTGCCCATCCTTCCTCCCTCCACTGCCCTCAGGCTCTAGTCCCCTGGGCAAGGAATCCTGAGCTGGCTGACTGGCCTGTCGCCATATCCAACCGGGGTGTCCTGGACCGACATCAGCTCTATTTGACCACTTCGGCAAGAGACTTCCGCCTCTACCCCAAGTGAGCCCACATACTTCCTTGCTCCGAATAGCCCTCCTGCATAGCCCTGCCTGTGCTGGTGGGGGCCCACTCCTTTTCTGATGGCTCTAGCTTTTGACTCCAGAATGTAGCAAGAACCAAAGTTCTGACCCTGTTCCCACCTCTTTAGTACCCAAGTCAGGGTATTAAAGGCATGCCTCAAGAAGGGTAGCAAGGGGCCGGGGAAATGGCTCAGTAGGATAAGCGCTTGACTGGCAAACGCAAGGATCTGAGTTCAATCCCTGGTTAGCAAATCCCTGTAATCCAACTACTTGAGAGGCTGAGGCAGGATTTGAAGTTTGAGTCCTGCGTGGGCAATTTATTTCTAAATTTTTTTTTTTATTTTAACATTTAGTGTGTGTGTGTGTGTGTGTGTGTGTGGCCAGCTCAGCCCACCAGGGGGCGCGGCTGGCTGGCATGTGGTGCTGGAGGATTGAACCGCGGTCCCTGTGCTTTGCCAAGCTTGTTCCAAGTAGGTGTTTTAGACCACTGAGCCATCTCTCCAGCCCCGTGCCTGGGCAATTTAGTAGCTTAAGGAGACCGTCTCAAATTAAGAAAAAAAAAAAAAAAAAAGACTGGGATGTAATTTAGTACTACAGTGTTAGCTTAGCTTAGCAGGCAAGGTGCCCTAGGATCAGTTTCCCCCACCTCCAGCACACACCTCACAATCCCAGTGCTGGGGACCAAACCCAGGGTCTGGTGTGTTAAGCATGCGCCTGCCACGGAGCTGTCCATAGTGTCGGGCCTCAGCAACCTGGTTTAAGTCAGGAAGTCCGCAGAACCCAAGAGTAGGCTCAGACCTGGGGGCGGGGCCCTAGGACTCGGCGGAGCCTCCTTCAGTATTGGCGCTGTACTGCTTCCCAAGAGTTTCTGGACCCAGGAATTCAGATTCCACGTCTCCTCATCCCGTTTCTAAGGGGTCCCCGATTCAAGCAGGACTTGGGGGTCTATTCCTCCGGAACAGAGGTCTATTCTCAGGAACCCCCTCCTGCCTCCCTTCCCTAGAGAGGAGCTGTCTGGATACCCTCGCCGCTATGCGCTGACCTACTGGAACTTCAAGGGGATGCCTCGGGGCTGGGGACCGGGCCCCCAGCGGCCAAAACTGGCTCGCTTGCCCTGCGTTCACCCGGCGACACCGGCCGTGCCACACCAAGGGTCTCTGTCCCTGGCTCAGGAGTCCTACCGTCCCCCACCGCACCCACTGCGCCGGCTGGACCGGTTCTGCCCGCTGGAAGTGCCCTGGGGCGGCCTCCATTGGAAGCCCCTGCCGGGCATCCTCAGTGTGCCCAAAGCCTACAGCACCGAGTCTTCACGCTATGGCAGACTGGAGCCCGAGCTGATCTGAGGGGACCGAGCCTTGGAAACTTCCACCACCTTGGAAGGAATGGACACTTAAAAAACCCATCAAAGCTGTAGCCCACCAGAAAAACACGCCCCTTAAGGGGGCGGGGCTCAACCCACATTAAATCCAGGCCCCGCCCACTCAGATGGGGCGCCTCGAACCCTGACTTTTCACAAGTGTTGGGTGTTGGGGTGATGCTGTCTGAATCTCCTGAGGGCATCGGGGTACACACAGGACCCTACCCTAGCACAGCACTTCGAAGGCCTCTAGAAGTTGCTGGACTCTTAAGCCACGGTCCCCCAGAAAGGTGGAACTGGCAGGCGATGGGTGGCTTCCAGGGTTCTCCAGTGGTCCCAGCACCTTCCTGGGTCAGAGCAGAGACCCACAGAGGGCCCCTGTCAGCACCCTATCTGGGCAGGGCCTTTTGCATCCTACTTCCGGTGGCTCTAACAGAACTTGGGCTCTACCTCTGTCACCTTCACCATGGTGGATCTGGAGTCGCTGCTGGGCCTCAGCGACCTTGTCGCTTCTCGCCCCCGGGGGGATTAGTGTCCAGGTTACCCCAGCTTGCTGCCACCACCAAGTGGCCTTGCCGCCCCCACACTCTACAGGTATAAAGCCAGGGAGAAAGGTAGGGGCAGCATTAAGAACAGAGATGCTCCGGGTAAGATGAGGCTCTTGAGAGCCTCCCCTCTTCCAGGCCACACCAGAAAGGGACAGAATGGTGTCACAGGTGTAGGTGTCCTCATTCTAGAGGGTATGACAGCCAGCAGGCTTCCTCAGGAGGGGAAAGGCGGAGAAGCCCATGATGGCACTAGGGCGCTCTGGGCTGTGGGGTGGACCTCAGAGGGTTGGGCTGGTGGCTGACGGGGCGACCAGGTTGCAGCACCTGAGGGACTGATCTTGCCCAGGGGCTTGTGCTGGGGCTGCTGCTGAGCTCGAGCGGGGTGTGGGCCTCCAGGGGGCTGCTGCGGCCCTTCTGCCGGCCTATCAACGCCACCCTGGCTGCAGAGAAGGAGGCCTGTCCAGTTTGCATGACTTTCACCACCAGCATCTGTGCTGGCTACTGTCCCAGCATGGTGAGTGGCCTGGATGGGCAGATGCTAGCCTGATGGGGGCAGCTTGGGCAGGGGACCTGCAGGCAGCACTGGGTGGCGGGAAGGTGTGGAGGGTTCTGGACACACAGAATCTGGACCCAGGAGCAGGGAGTGCTCAGATGAGACCCTGGGCCCTGAAGATGCTCACCAGCCCTGTCCTGGTCCCCAGGTGCGGGTGCTGCAGACCGCTACGACGACCAGGACTCAGCCCGTGTGCACCTACCGTGAAGTGCGCTTTGCGTCCATCCGGCTCCCTGGCTGCCCGCCTGGTGTGGACCCTGTGGTCTCCTTCCCTGTGGCGCTCAGCTGCCACTGTGGGCCCTGTCGCCTCAGCAGCTCAGACTGTGGGGGTCCCAGGGCCCAGCCCTTGGCCTGCGACCTCCCCCACCTCCCAGGCATACTCTTCCTCTAAGGACCGGTGAAGCCTTCCCAATAAAGGTTTCTCAACCCGCATGCACTCTAGGCGTCTCTGTGGCTCAGAAGACCAACACGCACACTGTGGGGCCAGCTGAAAAACCATTTTATACAAATTCACAGTGTCTGTATTTTGTAGAAAACAGGGGAGGGGAGGGGTGACTTCCAGCTCAGGAGGTGTCCATGGTTTCCCCTTCTGCAGGAAGAAGGGAGGCAGTTTGGTCAAGGCAGCCCAGAGGGTGACAAGGTGTGTGTGTGTGTGTGGGGGGGTGACACAGCAGGGACACTCACTGAGCTCATTGAAGAGGAAGGCGTCCTGGTACTCCTTCATATACTGCGTGGATCGAGACTCATCCAGGAAGAGCGAGTAGACCCTCTTGATGTCATCTACCTGTACCTCTGCACCCTGGGGAAGTAAGGAGTCTAAGGGAGTCAGCCCTGTGACCCTCCCAGCCCCGTGCCACCCCACTCCACCCCTGTGTTAGAGCTGGCAGGCAAGACAAGATCCCAGGCCAGACCTCCTGGGTTCAAATCCTATCTGACTACCTCCTGCTGTGAGCCCAGCCTCAGTCTCAGCCTTTCCACCTGGGCAATGGACTTAGCATCAACTTGTGGTCAACAGACACGGAGCACCTAAGTGCCCGACCAGGAGACACAGGATGACAACATCCCCCAGACTCGGGGGTGGCTCCTGAGGCTGGGACAGGAGGATTAGAGTGAATCAGAGGCCAGCCTGGGCTACACTGGAGACCCTATCTCAGAAAACCAAACATACACAAAGAAAACATCCCCCAGGCTTAGCAATAGTGCCAGAAGCCGTGTGGCTGGGCCTGGCTGGGCACTGACCTTGCGTTTCCGGCACACGAGGCTGGCTGCCGTGATGAGCTGGATGGCGTAGCGCAGTGACGTCTCTAGCCCGATGCGGGTGAGAACAGTGTAGGCGTCCTCACTCATCTCCACATCCTCCTCCTCACACCTACAGTGGGGTTGGGGCTCTGGCTGCTGCACAGGGACCCTGGCCTCTTCCTCCTGGGTACCTCTGAGTCATACACACTGAGGCTACACTTAACACCTGAGTTTCCTGGCCCTCTTCTTTCCCTCCCATCTGTCACAGGGGCACCCCCGCCTTGCCCTACAGTGGCCCTCCAGGCCTGGCCCAGCCCAGCCCCCGCCCAGCCCATGCCTGAGTTTGGCACACTGCCTGCGCACCGAATGCGCAGGATCTGCTTGGTGTCCTTCTCGCTGTAGGGTGAGGTGGAGATGATCAGCAGCCGGTCCAGCAGGTCGATGGGGATGCCATGGGGGCTCTGGTAACTGGTGCCCCGGATCCTAGGGGGTTGGGGGGCATGCTGTGAGGCAGTGATGGCTCTTGGCGTCCCACCCAAAACGTCCCACCCGCGCTCTACCACGGCCCACACAGAGGCCTACATAGGCTTGACCTTCAGCGGCACCTCACGTCACAGATAGCTGCGTCACCACATAGCTGCATCAGCCTCTAGTCACTCCCACGCCCCCTGCGGGGCGCTCTCAGAGCCAGGTATCTATGTCCAGGATTACTGGATCAAGGTCCCCTGCCTTCTGCACAGACTGCCACAGGGCAAAGGACTGCAGCTGTCCCGAGTCCTGCTGAACTGACTTGCAGAGGGCAATGGGAGACATCGGCAATCCTGCTCCTGGGGACACAGGCATTGCTGACAGCCTGTGGTCACACTTTGATGACTAGTCCTTGAGAAGGGAGGCTGAGGCAGGAAGATGCAAATTCTAGCCCAGCCTGGGCAACTTACTGACTTGGCAAGACCTTGTCTCAAGGACCGGCTAGATAGCTCAGTGGACCAAAGCCGCAGTCACTGGGGTTCAATCTCCAGCGTGCTGTGCCGGCCCCGCCTTCCTGGGGCGCACGCTGAGGGCAATTGAGACTGGGCATGGCGACGTGCACCTGTGATCCCAACGCTTGGGAGGCTGAAAACAGGATTACTACGAGTGGGATGTATGTAGCAGAACCCTGAACACCCTGTAAACCTTATACCAAATACATTTTATCATTTTTTTTGGCGGAACCGGGGATTAAACTCAGGCTCTTGCGCTTGCTAGGGAAGCGCTTATTCCACCGAGCCATCTCCCCGGTCTACCAAATACATTTAAAAAATAAAAAATAAAAAAAATAGGGCTAGGCAGATAGCTTAGTGGCATAGGCACCTGTCTGGCAAGTGCAAGGTCCTGAGTTTGATCACAGTACCAAACAAAACCCCCAAAACAACAACAAAGAAACCCCCACAGCACCAGGGAGGCTGAGGAAGGAGGATGGGCTAGTGTGACCTGCCTTAAAACAATAAACAAACACAGCAAGCACTGGCTGTCTTGGCTGCCTCCTCAGAAGATGTCTGTCCTGTGCGGCCCCATGAAGTTCCCAGGTGCTGCTCCACAGGTCCCAAAGCCCCATGCAATCTCTCTTAACATCTCTTCAGGCCCTACCAGGCCCTGCCACTCTCTAGACACACACTCCTGGGAAGGCACTGGGCTGTGCTGGGCTGGCTGAGGAAATGGGGCCAAGGAATCAGAACCTGGGCCAGGAGCAAGCTAAGCATGTGTCTGACCAGGGCTACGGGTGGCCCTTCCTGAGCTGCTGTAGCAGGTGTGAGGAATTCTTCAGAAGCACCCTTCCAACTCCAGCCCAGCAAGGCTGCCTGCCTTCCACTTCCTGTCTGCCTCCCGTGTTCAGAACCATGGATGAGCAGGCAGGGGTGAGCCGGGACCATGGATGGGTGTGTGCGCCAGAAACACCAGGTGTAGGGTCCCTGGTGTCATCCTTTGGGTCTCAGGAATTTATCCACTGCTTGTTTGCCTATTCATTATTATTATTATTATTATTATTATTATTATTATTATTATTATTTTATTCTTTATTTTTGGAAATAGGGTCTGGCTATGTAACCCAGGCTGGCCTTGAACTGGTGGCGATCCTCCTGCCTCAGCCTCCTGAGTGCTGTGATTACAGGCGTGTACCACCGCGCCCAGTCTCAATCGCTGTCTCAGCTCACCCCAGGGGCAGGGCTGGCACAACACATCAGGGATCAAACCCTGGCAGCTTCACTCTGCATAAGCAGGCACTTGAATCTGTCCACTGTATCTTTAGACCAAAAAAAGAGTTCCAACGAGAGAGTGCTTGGGTCCCAGCTACTTCAGTAAGTGCAGCAGTTTATGTAGTATCTATCAGGGGTCACCGTTAGCCTCTCCAAATTAAAACAAACGCCCCTCAGCACCTTCTGGGTTTGCTGCAGCCCCCTGGGGTGTTGCCCTCAGTCTGGAAACTGCAGCCAGCAGCACTCCAGGACCTGGGAGGCTTCCTCACGGGGCTGCTGGCTGCCTCGCTGAAGAGAAAAGAATACCGCTCGCTCTTTCGGAGGCTGGAATGTAGATGCGGCAGAAAACTGGCCTAGCACGCGAAGGCCCGGGTTCAACTAAAACACAGAAAAAGGGCTGGGGAGATAGCTGGGTGGTCTAAGCACCCCAAGTTTGATCCCCAGTACCTCAGGCCTTGCCAGCCCCAGAACCCCAGGTGTGCATGCTGGCCACCGAAACCAGGCATGGTGGCACACGCCTATAATCCTAGCACTGGACCGGCTGAGACAGGAGGATCACTACAAGTGCAGGCGGTGTAGTGAGACCCTGTACCAAATAAATAAATAAATGATTTACTACTACTACTACTACTAATAACAACAACAACTTAAAAACACAGGGGGAAGGGGCCGGGGAGATGGCTCAGTGGACTAAGCGCTTCCCTGGCAAGCGCAAGGGCCTGAGTTCAATGCCCGGTTCCACAAACAAACAAACAAACAAACCCAAAAAACAGGGGGAAAGAAAAAGGAAAAAAGGATCTGGGTACGGTGGCACATGCCTGGAATCCTAGCACTCAGGAGGCGGCACCAGGAGGACCACCGCGCTTCTCAGGTTAGCCTGGCGACAGGATGGGTTCAGGGCCAGCCTGAACTACAGAGCTAGACTCTGCAAGGCACCCAGTTCACCCTGCGGCCACACCCCTGCCGAGGCCGCTGCAGCCTCACCGTGTGATGCCCCGGTTGGTGGCCATGATAAGGACAGGTGCCATGTCACTCTCCAGGGCCCGGTTGAGGAAAGAGAAGCTCTCAATATCCAGCATGTGCACCTCATCGATGAAAAGCACCTGTGGAGCGTGAGGCACACGTCAGCTCCGCACCCCCACCCACCCCCACTACCCCTCCCCCCTCAGGCTGCTCATGTAGGGTGATCCACTCACCCCGGGAATGATCTCCGCTTTGCCCTCCTCACGCCACTCTGCCACCTTGGCATTGATCTGCTCTCGGACTTCTGACTTGATCTCCCCTGTGTCACCTACAGGAGACAGAGGCCACATGGGGGAATCCAGAGGAGACAGGGTCTGGTCTGAGCCAGAGTGGTGGAGGACAGTGATGGAGAGCAGGACAGAGAAGCGAGGCCCTGAGAGAGTGGGGCAAGGCAGGAGGAAGGCTGGGGTGGCTGAAATGGCCCCAAAGAGGATGCACAGAGGCAACAGAGGGCAGGGAGCTGTCCTCAACATACCACGAGAGAGAGATTTGGACAGCAATGGTGGGAGGAGGGTGGGCTAAGGAAGGGGCAGGCCAAGCCAGGATACAGAAGGACCGGGTGGTCCCAGGAAGGCACCAGAACAGGCGGCCTTACCTGAGAAGAGAGCCAGGAAGCCCTGGGTGCGGGAGTTGATGACGTCAATCTCATGCAGGGACACGGTGTGCACCACCTCCTTGCGCTTCTGTAGCTCCCCATCTGGGCACTGCACGAACTTGGTCTGTGGGGCAAGTGGGGCGGGCGTGATGGCGGGAGCTGGGCGCTGCCTGGCCCGCGCTACGGTCCCTCAACACCACTGATGGGCATGGACCCTGAGGGACCTGACACCACGTGGGGCTACAGTGTGGCAGTGCCAGGCTGAGAATCCCAGGGAAGATCCCAGGGGGACTCCAGGGACACAGCATCGAGATAACGGAAGGAGACACGGGGTTCTGGCA